ATAAAGTCAGAATTGCGAAATATAAACTCACAATTGCGAGCTATAAAGTCAGAATTGCGAGATATAAAGTCAGAATTCAGACTTTTTTTCTCAAATTTGCGTGATATAAACTCACAATTGCGAGCTATAAAGTCAGCATTGCGAGCTATAAAGTCAGAATTGCGAAATATAAACTCACAATTGTGAGCTATAAAGTCAGAATTGCGAGCTATAAAGTCAGAATTGCGAGCTATAAAGTCAGAATTGCGAGATATAAACTCACAATTGCGTGATATAAACTCACAATTGCGACTTTTTTCTCCCGCAATTGCGAGTTATAAAGTCAGAATTCTGACTTTTTTTCTCAGAATTGCGTGATATAAACTCACAATTGCGAGCTATAAAGTCAGAATTGCGAGATATAAAGTCAGAATTGCAAGATATAAAGACAGAATTGCGAGATATAAACTCAAAATTGCGAGCTATAAAGTCAGAATTGCGAGATATAAACTCAGAATTGCGAGATATAAACTCAGAATTGCGAGATATAAAGTCAGAATTCTGACTTTTTTTCTCAGAATTGCGTGATATAAACTCAGAATTGCGAGCTATAAAGTCAGAATTGCGAGACCTAAAGTCTGAATTGCGAGATATAAAGTCAGAATTCTGACTTTTTTTCTCAGAATTGCGTGATATAAACTCACAATTGCGAGCTATAAAGTCAGAATTGCGAGACATAAACTCAGAATTGCGTGATATAAACTCAGAATTGCGTGATATAAACTCAGAATTGCGTGATATAAACTCACAATTGCGAGCTATAAACTCACAATTGCGAGATATAAACTCACAATTGCGAGCTATAAACTCACAATTGCGAGATATAAACTCACAATTGCGAGCTATAAACTCACAATTGCGAGATATAAACTCACAATTGCGAGCTATAAACTCACAATTGCGAGATATAAACTCACAATTGCGAGCTATAAACTCACAATTGCGAGATATAAACTCACAATTGCGAGCTATAAACTCACAATTGCGAGATATAAACTCACAATTGCGAGCTATAAACTCACAATTGCGAGATATAAACTCACAATTGCGAGCTATAAACTCACAATTGCGAGATATAAACTCACAATTGCGAGCTATAAACTCACAATTGCGAGATATAAACTCACAATTGCGAGCTATAAAGTCAGAATTGCAAGATATAAAGTCAGAATTGCGAGATATAAACTCACAATTTGCGAGCTATAAAGTCAGAATTGCGAGATATAAAGTCAGAATTCTGACTTTTTTTCTCAGAATTGCGTGATATAAATTCACAATTGCGAGCTATAAAGTCCAATTTTGAGGGGGGAAATAAGACTGATATGTTCTCAGAATTGCGAGTCTAAATCTCACAATTCTGACTTTACTGACAATTTCTGACATTATAACTTCTTATTCTGACTTTATAACTCGCAATTGTGAGTTTATATCACGCAATTCTGAGAAAAAAAGTCGCAATTCTGACTTTACAGCTCATAATTGTGAGTTTATATCACACAATTCTGAGAAAAAAAGTCAGAATTGTGAGATAATAAGTCGCAATTACCTCTTTTATTTTTTATTCAGTGGCGGAAACGGGCTTCCATAGTTAAACAGCACAGAGGAAGAAAACAGATACATTTATATAATAATTTAATTCAGAAGTTGCTTGTATACAGATAAAATAGCAATGGTTTTACCCACACACACATTGCCTTGGTACACAAAATACAGTCTCTTTGGCTATCAATTTGTCTACGACTTTACAGTACTGACAGACCAACCCAGTTATTCCTCTAACACAAAACTGCTGCCAGGTGAGGGCTGGAATCCAGATATATCCCCTCATGCATCCCCTTTTTCATTTCCCACCAGGTTACTGGGCACTTTCCAAGCCAGTTTTGAGGTCTCTGTGGTCTGATATTCCAGACTTTTGTGCTTGAAGGTCATTTAGGACCAGATCTTCCTCAAGACGAGGCAGTCCCTGCTTTCATGATCTTGAAAAGAGCATTGATGTTGTTGTTCTTGATGGCATCCCGACAGGCAGTGATAACCTGAGTTTTGAGTTTTCCCACTGAAAAATATATAATAGGCCTATATAATAAATCAATCTGGCACAAATAACTATCAGACAGCAGAGCAAAGCATGTCCCGATATGGTGTGATGTGAAAACTATGAATACTCACTGACTACCACAGATGTGTCTTAGAAAAATCCACTCACCTCTCAATCTCCCTGCCCTTTGGATGGCCTGGTTAACTGATTTTAGCCGGGCAAGGAGGGCGTTGTGATTATTAGATCGGATTTTATATTCATTAATCAGATCTCTGTTGAGGTCGTACAGCTCAATGTAGCGTTTCTTCATGTTTCTCCTAGAAAACAGTATCATTTATGTATGTACATTTGTCTGAGAAAGCGAGAGGACTGATTAATCAAACTAGGGATGCTTACCAATCACCCATGAGTCTGGCATCTTCTGCCTGAACCAGCATATTTCTTATGTAGTTGGAATGATCTGCCATTGCTGCTGTGAGCTTTTGGTGCACCGAGTGAAACTCATCCACCTGACATGAACATAAAGGTTATTTACAGCTAAAAAAAATGTTTTCAAAAATCTTTATGGAGATGCTGCTATTTCTAACCTCAGTGAGAGTGGCTCGTAGCTCTTTGAAGTAGATAGGAAAGTCAGCTTCAGCCTGTAAGTCTTCTATAGCCAGAAAAGAGGCAAGAGACTGGACCAGATCTCCTGCCAGATCAATGTCATCTGTTCTCAGCGTGATCTAATGAGGCAAAAATAAGTTAGAGATTTCTGAAACATGAAGAAAAATTAGCTCACAAATACTGACACACACACACACACACACACATTAAAAGTACCTCTCCACTAGGCTGCATGTTGATTTTCAGTAGACCTCCTCCACGTAGTGCAGTGAATGTGATGTCTGGACTGTCAATGCCCTCAGGCAGCAGAAAGCTCTGGTTTAGCCACATGACCACCTGCAGACATAGATGCATGCCTCATATCTCATCATATTTAATCAATATACAGGTTTTTTTGTCATGTCATGCAACACAGTTCCATTATGAGTGTGTCCTTTTACCCTCTGTGGTCTGTCATTGATGCTGAATGTGACTTTTCCTGTGGGTTGTACGGCTGAGGGGTCAACGTTAAGGTCATACATGGAGAAGCGAGGCAGCTGACGTGTGATCTCAAATACGTGGAACTGTGTACTGGAGTAATTGGGGAAGAAGAGAGAAAAAGGAGAAGCGATTTATGATACCTTCATCTTAAACTTCAAGTAACCGCCGATTTTCAAGCATGTTTGGACATTGAATGAATCCTCCAAATGTAATCCATATAATGAAGTTTGTCAATCGTCATGATGATATTCCACATGTGTGTACCTGGTCTTCCCTCCCACAAAGGCTTTAATGTGAAGGTCCACTGGAATGTCTTTTGGAGGAATGATGGGGACACGGACACAGCCGGAGAGATTTTGAGCGCTAGGATGAACCACATGACTCTCGCCTTCAAAAATCCCTTCAGCAAATATCAGCACAGCTCTAATGATGGTTTCTGAAGGAGGGCAGCAAAAAATTTTGTAATAATTCACTATTATCATTTAAAGCTTTGTCTATGGAGCTTCACACATGACATACAGGATAAAAATACTGTGACAATTAATTAAGATTTCATTCTATTATTTTAACTCGTGGCCATACTGGACTAATTTGTTTCCTCATTTCAGTTAAATTGTGGCCATGTTTTATAATTTGTTCCCTCACTTGGATGAAATCTTGGCCAGATTTTTTAATTTGTTTCCTCGTTTTAGTCAAATTGTGACTATATGTTATGTTAAATTTTGCCTCATTTTAGTTCAATCATGGCCGTGTATTATTAATTTTATTCATTCATTTTAGTTATAGGCTATTAATTAATTCCATCATTTTATTTTTATTAAATCGTGGCCACAGTATACCTAAATCAAGGAATTAATTCTTTATTTATGGCCACAATATCTGAGTTGACATTTTAATGTGGCTTGTTAGACTGGCCTATATATTTTTATTAAAAAACTATAATAGATCAGTTGTAGTGCATGTGAAACATTGTATTGTTGCAACAGAGTTAAGTTGGATTAACTGTACCATTTGGAGTGGAGATGTTGAGCTCTATGTGTGCTCTCTGGCTCTCTGTGGCTCTTCGTACAGACAAGGCTGTCTGGAGCTGCGTGTTGGCTGGAATTACTCCCATCTTAGATTCGCCCTCAGAAACACCAGGAAGAGCCTAAATCAAACAAATCTCACTGACCAAAAACTGCCTCTGGAACATCAATGTCCATCAAAAACATTTTAACTATAGCATGTATAACCTTAGCATTTTCCTCGTAGTTTCGTAATTCCAGTATCAAGTTCTGTTTACGTTGGCTCAGCTCCCTGATCAGGTCTTGTTCTACACTTGCATCCATTAAGTTTCCCTTCATCTCCTTACTTGCAGGCAGATAGCCACGTACTGTAGGACGACACATACATTTGATGAGCCAATTTTCAAAGGCAACATGCATTTACGATTAAGTTCTGTCATCTTACCTTCTCCCTCCACAGAGGTGCATATAAGCTGGATCTGTCCATCCATGCGGTAGTCTCCCTCGACAACCCCAGCCACAGAGGATGAGAAATTATCCTTGAAGATCACCTCACCAGTGCGATCACTGCGAGCATCAATCTAGACAGGGAATACTCTCATTTGATCAGTATGGCAAAATCCTTATAAAGGAAAATGTGAGTGTCAATGCTAAAAGACTGACCTTTCCATTGGACCACCCAGTAATGAGCTCAACAACACCATCAGCATTAAGATCAAAGGCATGGATACTCATAGCGTGATTTTTAGACTGAGAAAAAAAAAAACACTATATCAATATAATTGATTTTTGACTCATTTATGTTGATGCATAATCATGCTCGTCTAGAAAAAAAGGATGAATCAGGTTTAGTTTTTTTTTTTTTCAGAATATTCCGAATTTTAAACCATAATTACAATAACTCTCACAATGAAAACGAAGAAAATAAATAATATTAGGTTTAGTTTGAATGGACCACTATGCACCACCTTGATCCTCCAGTAGCGAGCAGTGCGGTCGTACACTCCTACTGTACCATTGGCCAGAGCATAACCAAACCTGCTGCCGTGCATGTGACAAAGCGACGTGACTGTCTGAAAGGAACAGAAAGCAACAACTGTATAAACAAAAAAAAAATCCCAATTATAAAATTGCCCAATTATTAACCAACTTATTTTCATAACCCATACCTCATTTTCTGCCATTTCAGTCACTAGTTCATCCTCTCTAAACACCCTGATGTCAAAGTCCTCTGAGCCAACGAGAAGCTGGAAAGATGTGATGTAAATATGAAGGTGAATTTATAAAAGCAGTATTTTATAAATCAAAACAAATGTATTTTGTCATTATTAAGTGAAAGCGAAAATATAATGCCTCACTTCATTCTTGCCGTCTGCAGTGAAGTCACAAAGCACAAGTGATCGCACATTATCTCCAGTGACCTTTAAAAAAATAAAGGTATATCTATGACTATCCTTTTTTTTTAAAATTTAAGGGGGTCTGAATACTTTCCGTACCCACTGTATATATATATTTATTTTTTTTGAAAACACAAAGTAAAATGATCTTACTGTCCAGAACCGGTCATTTCCCTCAAAGTCAAAACCTTGCAGAGCACAATTTCCTCCAATGATGGCGAGGGGGGACTGGATATCTCCTAGTTTTCCCAGAACAATAGCATTGGCCCCATCAGTCACCTGTTATGCAATAAGCATGTAACAAACATTTCTGTCTTACTTGGATAAGAACCACTCATAAATATAATCTATTAATTTCCTGATATAAATAACCTAAGAAATCCACTCTAAATTAAGTTTTGTTTTTTTTTTACATATCTGTATACTGTATATGAGACATGCCATATAAACCTTGCCTTACCTCCTTGTAGAAGATGTCAGTGTTGTCATGAACGTCATAGGCCAACAGGTTGGTTTGAGAGCCAACGAGCAGCGTGTGTCCTGTGGTGTTGGGCCCCAGAGTACCAGCCGTCAGACAGCTCACTGCCTGGTTGATATTGAGGAGTGAGATATCGTTGTCCTGGGTACTCTGACTCAGCCGGTGGGCTGCTGGCCTCTGGCCTCGAGTGTGAGGGTTATGGATAAAAACCTGCATGGGTTTAGAAGTTAGACTTGATAGTAATGTATGGAAAAACACACAAATAGATAAATATGTAGAAGACACTATGGAAGCTTGTTTTGGCCATAGGTTTAAAAATTTTTTTATTTAGATTTATCTCAAAGTTCTGAATTATTTATTGACAATTATTAGTTTATATCTCACAATTCTGACTTTTTTCAGAACTGCGAGATACCCAAAATTGTGAGATATAAAATCAACCACAGGAGCTGCTTGTCAAAACAAAAAGACTTTGTTGTGTGGAAAGCTAAAGGCTATATAAACATTTACATAAGAGCACTATGAAGTCCATTGTAATAAAATTCAACAACCAAGGAAACTACTAAGATCAAGCTGTGTTGCCAATGTGAGCAAATACTGTCAGATAAAAAAAATGGCACTTGTCAGAAGAAAACAAGCTTTGTGCATGAATATTCTTGAACAAAACGTGCTTTGTAAATTTGTTGAATTTGATACTGACGCCAAGGGAAGAATAACTATTACAATGAGTAATCCAATATAATGTTACATAATATATATAATACTTCTAACGTACCTTCCCTGCTTGCGTGGCGGCTGTGAGGCATGGGTGTATCCCATCATATTTTCCAATGGCAACCATGCGAGGGTTAATTTTATGGTTCAGTTTAAGGGTGAAGATGGGCACTAACATGGTGGCACAGCTCAACGGCAAGATCAAATCTATTACTTACAACAACAACAAATCCTTTGAAAAAAAATGTAAACAGATGTTAAAATAATGGCTAGGCGAACATTCACAGCATATACTAGAAAAATCACAATCAACTGCCTCCTACATGGAGATATATATATATATATATATATATATATATATATATATATATATATATATAATAAATGGCCTCCAGTTCTCAAGTCTTTTGACTGTTTAATGTTGCAAAATCGTTTAACAAAGGCTAAAGAGGGAAAACAATGCACTGATTTGTATTGCTATAAATAAGACCATCACAAGATGTCTGTTCTTCATAAAAGGACAACTGTTTTTCTGCAGTGTACTTTGTCTACAATATATAAATTTCAGCAATTATTGGTGTGTTGCTTTATTTCACAGCTTTCTTGTATTTGTACATGCCAATGTAAGTTTCAACTTGAAGGGTTGGCTCTTGCCCAGTTGTCGCAAAGTGCTATTTCAGTACTGCAAGTTTATTTATAAAGGACAATTAAACGAGTAGGTGTCCACAGGAAACTTCTAAAAGTCAAAGCTACATAGAGGGGAGGGGGAAGTACAAATTGACCTAAAAATGTGTTTAAAATCTGAGCTGATTGAGTGCAATAAGTAGGATACACTCATACAACCAATGCAGAGCTAAATGGATGTTTTCAGTCTGAATGTAACCGATGATTGGTGTATCTGTTCTCTACTGGAAGCTGGTTCCAACTGTGGGTGTTAGAATGGCTAAAAAAAAAGCGACTCTCCTTGTTTTGAGTGAATCCTTGTTTCTAACTGACTTCATAACGAACAGGTGTTTTAATATGAAATCCCACCACAGTGATGGGGGGGGAATACAATGGTGTTCAAATGATGGGTTGCAGATAGCTGGGAACAAATGCAAATTAATTTGCTGATGTCCGTATTTTGGTGCAATTTGTTAAAAGAAGCAGATGCCAACATGGACAAGCTGCATAATATATCATCGGCGTGTAAGTAATATGATCGTATTAATTTAATATTACTATAATTATTTATAATAGCCTACTTATACTTCATGTATCACTAAATCATATATCAAATATCCCCATCATCGATCAAGTATAGGAATTCGCTGTATCACCGTCAGGTTTCAGTCAAATGGTTTTCCAAGCAATCTTACAGAAATTGTATCTGACCCGTAGACTGTATAAAAACTGAATCTGACCCTATCTCACTTATACAAATTATTGTAAACCGAAACATCTGAATAAAGTTCTATCGAGTCGCGCGTGCTTCTGGGAAAAACCTGTTTGAACCAATCAGCGCGCGCTCAATGGAACCCGGGAGTTCACGAGGGGGTTGTGTTTAGCATAGCGGCTAAAGTGGAAATGATCCTTTTATAGCCGCTCTAAGGATTCAAATTCTGGGAGGTGGGTTGTTACATACGCGTTAATTAATTAGTTAGTTAATCAAAGTCTCATTTGACAGGTGGCTGTCTGGGACGCGTTTGCCGACAGCACCTCATGTCAAGTTAGCTTGCTAGCAAGTGACAGTCGTTTTTAGTCACTAACGTTACTGCTATTTCACAAGTACATTCATTCAATGTAACGTTAGTTCTAATTATGTGTGTATTTATATGTTCCATTTAATAAAAATAGAATGCTAAATAAACGAGTATGTAATGATACAGTTTATTTGACTTTATTAATAGTAGGTAATCGTGTCTTTGACATCCTAAAGTTAACATAATTATATATATAGTGAAATTCACACAGTTACTACTGTACAATAATAATAATTTAACATGGAATGACCTTCAAACTGTAGGTTTATCTGTAATAAGCTTTGAGAGTTTCTTTCAGTTTCAGTGTAATGAAAAGAGCTGTAGTAAGTGATAATTTGCTAACCAGTGATAACCATACACATTACAAATGATGTGCATATCACCATGTAACGTAGACATGCTCTTGTGTTGCTGTCAGGTGAAACAGGAGCTGCACATGGATACTGAGGGCTTCGGGGAGCTCCTGCAGCAGGCAGAACAGCTGGCAGCAGAGACTGAGGCCGTGTCCGAGCTGCCCCATGTTGAGCGAAACCTACAGGAGATCCAACAAGCAGGAGAGCGACTACGTTCCCGCACTCTCACCAGAACCTCTCAAGACACAGCTGACGTAAAAGCGTGAGTTTTTAGTCTGGTGTCTGTATGTCATTTGGCGTGACACTTACATTTATTTGAAGTCATTTGGGTCAGCATATTATTTATATCTGTACTGTCATTTTTTTTTTTTTAAACTTCAGCTCCATCCTCTTGGGCTCTCGGGGTCTTGACATCTTCCATATCTCTCAGCGTCTTGAGAGTCTCAGTGCTGCCACTACATTTGAGCCTCTTGAGCCAGTCAAGGACACTGATATTCAGGTTAGTGCATGTTTTACTTGGGTGGGTGTTTTTAGTCCTAGTTGAAATTGATAATTGTTTTATACTTTATATCTCACCACTGCATGCATTGAGATGCAGCTGTTTAATGTCATATATTTAGCCACTGCAGTAGTTGTTTGAACTCTATTATCTGTTGATATCAAAGGGCCCTAATTATCTGGATGTACACTACCATTAAAAAGTATGTACAGCTTTACCAAGTATGCATGCTTTACCAAGGTTTAACTTGTTTGATCAAAAATACAGTAAAACATTATATAACACTATATTATTAAACATATTACATTTAGAACAATATTGTTAAAATATTACAATATAAAAACTTTTCTATTTTATTTATTGATTAGATGCAAGTTATTCATGTGATGGTAAAGCTGAATTTTCAGCAGCCATTACTCCAGTCTTCAGTGTCACATAATCTTTCAGAAATCATTCTAATATGCTAATTTGGTGCTCAAATAACATTTATTATTATTTTCAGTTTTTTCATGATTCTTTGATGAATAGAAACCTTTCTTACCCAGCATTTATTTCAATGAAAATCTTTTGTAACAATGTGAAGTCTTAAATGTCACTTGATAAATTTAGTCTTTGCTGAATAATAATAATAAAAAAATCTTGCTGACCCCAAAACTTTGAATGGTGCTACACTACCAGTCCAAATTTTTTGAACAGTGTTTTTTTGAGCATGTGGGAGTCATTTATCAATTTGATGGGCAAATCTCCTAATTGTGCTAGTGCATCATAGTTGCTACTATAATGTTTTTATCTCTTGTCATCATCTTTTGTTTTTTGTTGTTGTATTTTGTTTGTTTGTTTATTGTCCCTCTTATATCAGCGGGCGGGGGTAACCACCAAAATGAAATGGTTGTATTATGTAAAAATTAATAAAAGGGGAAGAAATTTTTTTTTTTTTGAACGTTAAGATTTTTAATGTTTTTTTTTTTTAAGTGTCTTCTCACCAAGCCTGCATTTATTTGATCCTAAGTACTGCAAAAACAGTAACATTTTGAAATATTTTTACTATTTAAAAATAGTATTTATTTTTACTATTTAAAATAAATGTTTTCTGTATGAATATATTTTAAACTGTTATTCCTGTGATTTCAAAGCTGAATTTTTATCCGGTCACATGATGCTTCAGAAATAATTCTAATATTCTGATTTGCTTCAAAATATTACTGCTTTTGCTGTATTTTGGATCAAATTATGGATGCTCATTTTAACCGGTTAACCGAACGTAAGAATTTTGACCGGTTATTACAATCAGTAAAACGGTTTAAAAAGGCTTTTTTTTCAGTAGGCCTAATTTATCAAAATATTTTAAAAGGTTTGCTGCATGGTTAAAATATGCCACGCGTATAAAAAAATGTTTTTAGAGAAAAAAAAACGCATGTATGTCACATTTTATTATTTCATTCCGAAATAGGCCTAATTTATCAAAATATTTGAAAAGGTTTGCTGCATGGTTAAAATATGCCACGCGTATAAAAAAATGTTTTTTAGAGAAAAAAAAACGCATGTATGTCACATTTTATTATTTCATTCCGAAATAGGCCTAATGCCGCAAAACGCAAAATGTTTTCAAACATTATAATAAACACTAAACATAGCTAGGCTATTTTAGTTCCCCTCACTCCACAACAAATCCTTTAAATTTAACAGTATTTTTAAAAAAGGACAAGAATTAAAAATATAAGAACCTATAGGCTAGCTGTATAAACTACAGGCTAAAACAAAACTGAAACCAACGTTGGGTCTCTCTTTCGACAAAATCAAATGTTTCTGTATTCACGATGTATTTGAATGCCAAATTATTATTTATTATGTAGCCTACTTCACTGGCATTCCAATATCCACGTAAAACAAAATGTTTTGCATAACATCACGGCAGTACGGTGAAAACACTTAATGCCACAGATTTGACTACATATGGAAAAAAAATACATCGCTCAGTTTAAATATGTTTGACTGGCTGTATTTTATTATGAAATGAACAGGCTGCATTATTGTCAAGGTAGCAAAGCTTAACTGTGTGCGCGCATGCGGCGCTGGCACAATCATTTGAATTTTTTCCTTCTAACAGTGGAAGCAACTACTCCTTTTAGTCATAAAGATATTTGGAATTGTAAAAGGTTTGCTTTTATTTGTGTACATTTACAATACAAACAAATCTTTGTGCTTTTGTAAAATAGGCCTAAAAAAATAGGATGGTGCTTTCTGCCATCTTGGTTTCCTTTCGCGCAGCACAAAAATGAACTAAAACTCTGCATATTAGGCTACTTGTTGCACAGTTTTTTTTCTTTCGTTTTCTTAATTTATTATTTAAGTAAAAATATATTTCTCATTTAGGCCTATTTATTCTTTTTTATATATAAACCCTCACTCCACAACAAATCCTTTAAATTTAACAGTATTTTTAAAAAAGGACAAGAATTAAAAATATAAGAACCTATAGGCTAGCTGTATAAACTACAGGCTAAAACAAAACTGAAACCAACGTTGGGTCTCTCATTCGACAAAATCAAATGTTTCTGTATTCACGATGTATTTGAATGCCAAATTATTATTTATTATGTAGCCTACTTCACTGGCATTCCAATATCCACGTAAAACAAAATGTTTTGCATAACATCACGGCAGTACGGTGAAAACACTTAA